TATATATATATATATATATATATATATATATTTGATGTTTGATAATTATTTAATATATTTTCTGTTCATACCTTATTTTTATAACTTGTTCATATGTTTGGTCCATGGTATTCTCAAAACGATACCTATTACTAGGCGTCAGATGATATAATTCTGAATATATGATCAGAATTTCTGCTAATATAGTGACCGATACTAATCTAGAGCAATACTTATTGAATCAGAAATAATTTAAGTTCACAATACTTATCAGAGATTAACTCGCAGTTTTGGTTTTTTTTTCTGGTCAGGATATACGTCGTTACTGTATATATATATATATAAAGAGTTTATAAAATAATGAATTGACAGCACCCACTCCCATCCGAGCATCGGTATTGTCATCCTCTCTCCCTGTTCCTTTGCTCCCCCACCCCTGGTGGTTGTAGCGGAGATGGCTTTGAATGAAAGAGAGTTTGACGAAGCCATTCGCGTGAATCTGATTTTGGTAGACAAGACAGAGAAGCCCAGACACTTGGCCAAAAGCACGTCCCTCGCGACTCAAAAATAATAAATAAATAAATAAATAATAAATGAATGCAAATAATTATAATTATGTAATTAATAGAGATTTGTTTAACACATTTCTTTACATGATTATTTTATTCAATTCACGGACGATTTCTTTCAAAAGGAATCATTGTATTCAGTTGAAACGTAAGTTCTGTCCTATTTTTGAGGCAAAAATTTATTAAAGTATTACCTTTTGATGTTGTTTAGCAATGCTACTAAGAGTACTTACTAAGAGCATTTTCTTTCAGAAAAAGAATATTATTCATAATATAGTACAGAACTTACACCTAAGTTCCTCCCAGACTCCATGAATTCAAGCGCCCTACGAGGCTGGCATCCCCCTTACACCGTAGAAACCTTCAAATGTAGCCGTCTCTTCTACTCCAATAGCTTCATACCTCGCACCTCTCGCCAGTGGAACACCCTCCCCAATTACTGTTTCCCTGAAAGCTATAATATCCAACTATTCAAATGTAATGTCAATTGACATCTCCAATTACCTTGATCTACCCACTATCCTTCTCCTCATCCTTTCTTCTATCACTCTTATCTGCTCTTGCTCCAAATCTTCCGCAACCCCCTGCATCCTAGTGGCTTCACGCCTTTCTTGGGGCACAATGCTTTAAAAAAAAACAAAAAAAACTAAAGAACACATTAGAATTGTACACTATGAGCAAGTGTAAAACCAAAATCATCCATCTAGCGCGCTTATGGGAACGATGCATTTTTCTGAAAAAAGTTGCAGGAGGTTGTTTTCCTGTTTAAAAACTAGAAGGTTTAGTCTACGAGCCTGGGGAGGGTCACCCAAAAGCATTCGATTCAGGGGATTTGTAAGTTGCTGTTACAGTAAATCCTGCCATTACGGCAACAGAACTCGATGAGAAATTTAATGTTAGTCATACAACAGTCCTACACGACTTGACAAAGTTTGGAAAGGTTTCAGTTGTTGGAAAATGGGTCCCACACGGCCTGTATCTAGATAATCGCCAACAATGTACATCAAGTCATCGTTGCGAATCATTGATTACACGGAAACCACAAAATGCCTTTCCTTCGTCAGTGGATCAGTCGACGAAACAAATTGTTATAACTCGCTACTAGTGGTTTTATATTACGTCTCGCTTAGGCTACTCGCCATGACGTCATTAGGGTTCTTCCCGACTGATTCCAACGGACTTCTCGGAAAATATGCTCGTATCTTCTAAAATAAGCAGAAAAACTAATTTCATCATTTGAATTGTATGTGAATTCAGTTACGGCATTTGCCAATGCAACAGAAGTGAAAAATCTTGAAGAATTTTCCGTTTTCTTCCGTATTACAGTGTAACCCGGATATAAGAGACCCGGATATAAGAGAAACCCGGATATAAGAGAGATTTTCTCTGGTCCCAAATTAGAGCCTGTGTTAATGTATATAAAATAAACCAAACCCGGATATAAGAGAAACCCGAATATAAGAGACTTCTTCTCCGGTCTCACCAACTCTCTTATATCCGGGTTATAATATATATATATATATATATATATATATATATATATATATGTACAGAGTACCCCGGATATAAGAGAATCCCGGATATAAGAGAGATTTTCTCTGGTCCTAAATTAGAGCCTGTGTTAATGTATATAAAATAAACCAAACTCGGATATAAGAGAAACCGGAATATAAGAGACTTCTTCTCCGGTCCCAACAACTCTCTTATATCTGGGTTACACTGTATATATATATATATATATATATATATATATATATATATATATATATATATATACAGTGTAACCCGGATATAAGAGAAACCCGGATATAAGAGCGATTTTCTCTGGTCCCAAAGTGTTCCCATACTAACCAAAACAAAATAGACCAAACCCGGATATAAGAGAAACCCGGATATAAGAGACTTCTCCGGTCCCGACCACTCTCTTATATCCGGGTGACACTGCATTTCAATTAAATTTTGTTTTTGTTGCTGGTGTTTCAACTGTTGTTAATGCTATTGCTTTTGTTGTTGTTGCTATATTCTTATCACTTGGGCTAATAATTCTTCCATATTTAAAGAATATCTGTATTTTTTCTTTCTTTCTCTTTTTTTTTTTATTTTTTAGACACGCCGAAGAGAAAAAAAAATATAAACCAACGTGGTTCTAATTTCTCGCCATCACTATTATCATGTGCGCCGAAGCAAAAAGAGTACTTTTTCTCTACTCCGTATGACTTTAGATTCCTCGTCGCCACTGTTATAATACACCCTGTGATAACCAAATATATTATTTTTTTCTTTTTCTACATTTTTTTTAGTTTGTATATATGCGCATTTTTTTTCTTCAATTTTAAAAATTTTTGTATCCATTTTGTTATCCAAGACTATGCTATCCGGAATGACATATCTTGCAAACAGTTCGTTTACTACATTGTATAATATATTTTTAATTTCTATTTCGCTTACAATAACAGTGTCCTCAAGCGGTTCAGTAGTTGGGTGTATCAATCTTAATCCATTCAGCAACCGAGAGAATATAATCCAAAGAAGATTAGGCTGAGTATATAGTGGGATATTCAAGGAATCATCCATTACGAACTGTTAGACAAGGATCAGACAATAATCAAACAATCGTTATTAAGCCATTAATCATTATCATACGATGGTCTCTTAACCGGAAAATTAACGCTACAATAATTAATTCAAAGGAATAAAATCCAGAATTGCTTATGGCAAGCAGGATACAACAAGGAATCAGTAAAATTATTTATTGATATAATCCCAATCTCTGTAATGATTTGGAACAGCTTACTGCCAAAAGAAGTTAATTTTAGAATTTCTTCAAAGGCAAGGTCTTCATAAACGGGTAATATTCGGGAATATAAATTGATTGCTGCTGTCATAAATACGCCATCTTGACAAATCTAAGCCTACAGTTTTTAAACCCTGTATTACCAAAATGTAATTCAGTTGTACTAGCGGAATGAGATGGGCGTTGCCATGCATAAAATTACTGTTAATATCAATGGCACTGTTTTTTTTTTTTTTCTTCTGACACCACGTCTGAAGGTTGGCCTTTATTCATTGGATTTCACCAGAAGGGGTCATTTTAAACACAACTGTCCACCTTCTAAGAGTTAACCAACTCATGATTGACATTCTAACATAACTCCTCTGCATTCTTGTTGGCACCTCAAACAAACAAACTTAGGTTCCTCCTCGGGGCAGTGGCCGTTTAACCAACCGAGGGTGCAATCCAGCTTCAGCCTACACTTGTCCATGCATAACGCTTTCTGAAAATAAGGTTAATATACTGTACGGCTCTACTCATTCACTTAATGAGGTGATCCGAAAAGAGAACAAGCAATTAGTTTGGTGCACGTATCGAATGACCTTAGTATTGGGTATTGGAATGTCTTAGGAACATTTCGAGAGACAATGAATTTGCATAACACTTCAACATCCTCTTTTAAATGTTCCAAGAAATAGGATTCAAAATAAACCTTGTCAAAATAGAAACTATGATCTGAAATTGGAATGAAAGCAATGATGGCACTTGAACATTTTCTTGAATAGATTGTATCTATAAAAATAGCATATAAACAGAAAATATATTAAATAATTGTCGAACTTAATTCATATGTTGTCATTGCTTATATTAACATACGTTTCGTGAGCAGATATGATCGATCGAGAGAAATCGTCGAAGGTTGTGTGTAATTAGGACTTTGCAAATCAGACGCTTCGCCGTAGTTGAATGGTACAGCACGTCAGGTCAAATGGCAGTTTCCGTATAGATATTGCCATATAGATTTGATTATATTTGTCATTCGAGTGCATTTGTTCCTAGTTTTCAAAGTTTAGCTTGTGTAGTAGTGTGTTAACTGAGAAGTGTTCCGTTTAACAATGGCAGGATATTCATATCGTTAGCAGGCAGATATGATTTTTACATGCGGTCGCGCGAATGGTAATGGACGCAAGGCTGCACGGCTGTATCAGTTTGCGTTTCCAGGCCGAAGGCCGCCGAATCATTCAACCCTTACTGCTGTTTATCGTCGCGTTGATGTGACAGGATACGTGGTGTATATATATATATATATATATATATATATATATATATATATATATATATATATATATATATATATATGCACAATTATCAGTTTCTCCAGTTTAGACAGAATTCAAAGTGCCCAGGTTGATTATCCTCATTTCTTTAGGTGATTCTGTCATCTTATCGCACGGACGAAACGTCAGACTCAAGTGAGGATGGTTCCTCATCATTTATTCAATAGCTATATATCTTCGCTATTTCATGTTGCCCTTAATATTTACCAAATGATTAGTCACATTACCCCAAAACTCCGGGTAAACGAAATAACACTGAATAGATCAGACCAAGAATAGCAGACAAAAGAAAACTGAGGAAACTGAAATCTCTGAAATTGAGAATAGTACTTTGTGCATATATTAAAAGAAAAACAGATCCTTATATCGAAAGAAAAAAGAAATATAATTCTCGATTTGTGTGTTTAAAGAAAGAAAGAAAAAATTTATTATAAAGAGAAATAAATAAAGGAAAAGAAAGAAAAGAAAGAAAGAAAGAAAGAAAATAAAGAAAGAAAGAAAAAAGAAAAGAAAAGAAAAAAAGAAAGAAAGATTAAGAGAAAAAATGAAAGGAAAAGAAAGAAAGAAAGAAAAGAAAGAAAAGAAATAAAGAAAGGAAAGACAAAAGAAAGAAAGAAAGAAAGAAAGAAAGAGAAATAAAAATAAAGGAAAAGAAAGAAAGAAAGAAAGAAAGAAAAAAAAGAAAGAGAGAAAGAAAATAAAGAAAGGAAAAGAAAAAAGAAAAAAGAAAGAAAAAAGAAAGAGAAATAAAGGAAAAAGGAAAAAAAGAAAGAAAGAAAGAAAGAGAAATAAATAAATCCTGAAAAGAAAGAAAGAAAGAAAGAAAGAAAGAAAGAAAGAAAGAGAAATAAATAAAGAAAGAAAGAAAGAAAGAAAGAGAAAGAAAGGAAAAGAAAGAAAGAAAGAAAGAAAGAAAGAAAGAAAGAGAAAAAAAAGAAAAGAAAGAAAGAAAGAAAGAAAGAAAGAAAGAAAAGAAAGAAAGAAAGAAAGAAAAAGAAAAAAGAAAGAAAGAAAAAGAAAGAAAGAAAGAAAGAAAAGAAAAGAAAGAAAGAAAGAAAGAGAAATAAATAAAGGAAAAGAAAGAAAAGAAAGAAAAGAAAGAAAAAAGAAAGAAAAGAAAGAAAGAAAAGAAAAAAAATAAAGGAAAAGGAAATAAATAAAAGGAAAAGAAAGAAAGAAAGAAAGAAAGAAATAAATAAAGGAAAGAAAGAAAGAAAGAAAGAAAGAAAGAAAGAAAGGAAAAGAAAGAAAGAAAGAAAGAGAAATAAATAAAAGAAAGAAAGAAAAGAAAGAAAGAAAGAAAGAAAGAAAGAAAGAGCGTGTGGACAAAAAAAGAAAGAAAGAAAGAAGTACAACACAACAATGGCAATTGAGAATGAAAATAGGTAAAATATGAAAAAAAGAAAGGAAGAAAAAAGGAAAGAAAGAAAGAAAGAACGAAATTAATAGCTTATTTTCATGCATAGCGTATTCTTTCTTTCACTCAAGATATGAAATTGATTAAAATCATCATAATAATAATAACAAATATTTTCAGGGCGTGTCTCTGTTTAACTCGTGATCCACATTTCGCCCTAATTGTCAAAGATATATTAACCTGATTGACACTTATCTCGACCCGAAAGTCGGCGTCGTATGCAGACACCAGGAGGTTTCCCATAATTTAAATTAGTGTCGCAGTAACAGCCACATCACAGCCGCTGTGACACACGAACATGAACGTGTGGTGACAGTATTTCAAAGGATGCGGTTCTGTAGTAGTTAAAATTGCTATTGCTTCGGCTAACGACTGGATTTACGGTTGTAAAACTGACCGGCAGATAGTGTGATAACAAGTTCCACCCACCAGCTTGATGAACAGAATTTTATCACTTGTCTTACGTCTCACCGACTGATCTATAGGCAGTAGTTTCACTGTCATTGTCGACCGAGTAGTGAAGGCGTTTCAAATATAATCTGGAAAAATCTTTTTTTTTTTTTTTTTAAATTTAAACGATAGGTTTTTAAATGAAGTTGTTAAGATTTTTGTATATTTTATAGATAAAGGCTTATTTTCTTAATGCCTGCAAATTTCATTGCTTAAGGATTACGAAATTATTTAGAAAATTAAACTGGATAAATTGAAAGACCGATTATTTTTTTCTAAGTATGACAGTTAATTTTTTGGCGGGGAGACTGGGTGTATATCGAAATTTTCTTTGGTGTGTATATCGCAAAAAGCATTGACAGCACAACAAAAATAGTTATGACTTCATAATATATATTTACAATAAATTTTTTTTAAAAAATGTTAAAAATACAATATATTAAATGCAGATGAAAGGTTCCCAGCGTTTTACAACGGTTTTCTTTTCTTTTTTCGCTGGAAACTTTTACACATTCTTAAAGCATTCTACCGAATCAATATTATTTCTGTTCTTGGCCTTTTCAGTTAATAAAAAGTGTTTAATTCACAGTTTAAACCCTAGTTTCCTGTTTACGGTAATTGAATATTGATAAATAAAGGCGTTTAATTTCAGCAAACAAAGCAGATTAATATTAATTTAATATTAATTTTTAGGTTCATGAATATCTGCGTGTGAATATTAAGTGTAATACAATATGGACGAAAGACCAAACACGCGCATGCAGGCACTCAAACACTTCCATTGGTAAGGGGGAAATTCCACTCGGACAGCATCTTCCCCAAAACTGTTACTTTGTGAAACAGGCTCCCGCGAGGAGAAGATGCCTCCCGATCGCTAATACTCTTCAACTATAGGGTCAACTGTTAGCTGTCATATACCTTTTCCTATTTTCCCGATTTTATCATTCTGTCGGGTTTTAATCCATATTTGATTCAATTCAACTGAAGATAATATGCACTTCTTGCTTCCTCTCTTTACGCCCTTACAATAATCTCATTCTGTAAACCTCTTCCTTGAGTGGCACTTAGGCCATATATTGATTGATCAATAGTAAAAAATATATACATCCCTCTCTCTTTCTTTTTCTCTCTTTCTTTCTCTCTCTTTCGCTCTCTTTCTCTCTCTCTCTCTCTCTCTCTCTCTATATATATATATATATATATACATATATGATGTGTTTATTTAAAAAAAATACGAAAAAATTCGCCATTCTCTCCGCCGGGTGTCAATGACCTAAGGGTTAGAATCTCCGACAGTTAGCAAATTCGTCGGGTTTCGATCGGACGCGACCAGATGTCTAGCCACACTGATGACCTGATACAGTCATATTGTCAGACTGAGATGACTATATATATATATATATATATATATATATATATATATATATATAAGGGTGGTTTCAAAATCAATAATTATTTAAAACAATGCATACCATGTTCTATAGATACTTACGCGCATGAAACAATAGATCTATAGCCTAACAGCCGATTAACTCAATTTGGATTATATATTTTCATTGTATAATATCTGATCAATGAAATTTCAATTCAACACTGAAGTAAGTGCATTGACAAGAAAGGCGATTATGTTAAAAAAGTAAATATGTGAAATAAATACATTTAAAACCATTTGGCTGCAGACATATTGAGGTACCTACGTATGAGAATAATCCTCACTAGTGAATTAGGTACGCTGACGAGGAAGGAGATTATGTTGAAAAGTAAATGTTGTTTAAAATCCTTTTCATTAGGCTGAGGGCGTATCCAAATCCATACCTATGGGATTTAGTGTTCATCATTAAATAAGGTGCACTGAAAATGGAGAACATTATGTTGAAAATATACATGTAAAATAAAAACATTTGTGCTGCCTACATATGAAGTTAGTATTCACTATTTAATTAGGTGCATTAACAAGGGAAGAGATTATGTTGAGAAAGACTCCCTGTGTACTGGTGACATTATTGCCTTGCTTGTGATGAAATGATTAAGAAAAGGAAAAGAAATATTCCTATCGAAAATTAAGTGGTTTTTGTTGTTTTATTTGTTAGAATATGGACTTAATTATTTGATATAAATCATTAAATCTTTTGTAGAAAAATAGTTCGTCAAGTGAAATTCTAAAAAATGAAATATTAATTAGAAAATGCTAATACTACTCTTTGATTAAAACATTTTTTGTGAGATGGAAAGTAAGCAGGTTTTACATGTCAAACCTTATTCAAAGAAAACAGTACTAAATTGTTACGTGATATCTGTCCTCCTATATGGCAGCGAGTGCTGGACAATCTCCTCAAAGATGAAAAAGTGATTTATAGCATCTGATAAGGATGCTGGGAATACCATGAACGGAACACGTGAACAACGACAAAGTTTTAGTTAAGAGGGAAACAAAAAGGAAACTTATAGTTTAGAATAAGAAAGAGGCAATTGAAATTTCTAGTGAGTATAATAAAGAAAGACGGCTTGGAAAATCTAATACTCACAGGACAGACTGTAGGCAAGAGAGATAGAGGAAATCAGCGTATAATTTACTTAGGGAGCTTGATTAAATGGATGGCGGAACAGTGTTTAGGAGAGACAAAAAAAGATGGAAGTTATTAGGAACTACAAAAGGACTGGAATTTAATGATTTAATATAAATCATTAACTCTTTTGTATAAAGACAGTTTGTCACATGAAACTTTAAAAAATGATATTTTAACTGGGAAACGCCACTACACTTTGATTAAAACATTTTTTGTGTTATGGAGAATAAGAAGGTTTTACCGATCAAACCTTATTCAAAGAAAACAGTATTAAATTTTTACGTGATATATGTCCTCCTATATAGCAGTGAGTGCTCCTCAAAGATGAAAAAGTGATATATAGCAACGGAAATGTGATTCTACCGAAGGATTGTGAGGATACTATGAACCGAATATATGAGCGACGACGAAGTTTTAGAGGAAATGGAAACAAAAAGCAAACTTATAACATCAAGAAAAGAGTGTTGAAATTTCTATGGCACATAATAAGGAGAGAGGGCTTGGAAAATCTGATACCCACAGGACAGATTGAAGGCAAGAGGGACAGAGGAAAACAACGCATAACCTACTTTGTGAGCTTCAGTAAATGGATGGCCGAATAGTGCTTAGGAGATATAACAAGACAAAATTTATTAAGAGCTACAAAGGACAGGAAATTGTGAAGTGCCATGATCGCCTGCGTTCTGGGGGGACAGCACATAAAGAAGACTTGTCACAAGTACAGATTAAACTCATTAATGATGGACACTGAGAGTCGCCTGGTTAAACTTTACATCACACTTGTTGGTATATTTCTATATGCTTAAGTTATATAAAACTTTTTCATAATTTTAATAAAAGAACAAAAACTGAAAATGTGATATGGTGAAAATTCATTTTGATTATGTTTCATTTATTTGGATGGCTTC